CACAGAGGAGCGCAGCAGTGATCCACCGCCACCGTCCAAAGCTTTGGATGACAGCACAACGTGGCAGTTGATGGAACCAGATGCTGGCATTGCAGTTGTGTACATGCCTTTTCTCAAGAATGACAAGGTGGAAGGTGTGGACCCTGGTCAGAGCGACTACATGAGCACGTGGAATTTTGTATATACGCCTGAGCAAGTGGACAAGGTGGTAGCACTTGCGAAGGCAAACTATAACGAAGGGCGGGAAAGGATACGCAAAACGATCAAGGCTGTCTATGAAAGAAAAAAGAAGGTGAGATTGGAGAATGAAAGTGCGGTGAAGGCAGAGATGAAACGAAGACAAGTCAGGCTAGGAATCAGTGGGAAGTTGGGCGAAGGTGACCATTTCAGTTGATGGACCCATAGCACGCAGGGCGTTGGATGGATGACTGAATGACGACAAGCCAGGGAACACGGAACTTGCATTGTGGCTTGGATGAATCTGGATGGCTGATACCCCCACGAAATAGGAAAAGACATAATGTATGCCGGCATGATAAACGGTGTTTGACGTTTCATGGCGTTGCCTGCAAGCCTGCTAAGTGCTCCGCCGCCACATGCATGCTTCTTGTATTTGACAAACGTTAGTATAGAAAGGCTTGTTCGCAGTCTCGCAGTCTTTTGTGACATTTATTGATGTTTAGACGGCTGCAACGCCCTTCTTTAAACATTCATTGCGATCTTTCTTCCTGCCAGGCTCGTGAAAACAGCTGACAGTAGACAAGGCTACTATTGAAGTACAGAATTAGTACACATCCACCTCTGTATTGCACAGCGAGCCTTCTCCCTTTTCTTTGTATTTGACTTCCCAACTTCTTTCTTCAAGTGGTATGTACAGTTCTGGAAAGAGCACATGTACAACTTGTGCCGGTGAAGCACGGTGGCTACTAGTCTTGACGATTCAAAATGGTCTGCAGACACAAGTGCCTTTTCACCAACCCAGATACTTCCTCTTCCTGGGAATCTACTGAAGCTGCACACAATATTTGCTTTATGAGACCATGAAGTGGTCTTTTTCGGAATTTGACTTGTTCTTTTTTTCTTTCTTTGTTTTCCCCCTTCCTTTCTGAGGCCGCACAAATCTGCCCAAAAAAAAGATGCTCCTTATTGCGTCTCAACGCGACTGCTCCACACCAACCACATCTCATACCCTCAAACTACTACCACCGCCTCACCCTTGTCTTGACGCTCCATCTTGTCTAGTCAAGGGCGGATGGAAATTCCAACCACTCTGTCTGCATGCTGAGTAGAGTAGAATAGAAGAAGATTGCACTATAAAGTGGCGTATACATTGGGTCTCTCTCTCTCGCGCGCGCGCGCATAGAGCCACAACAACTCATGAGTCGATTCTTTTTTTTTTTTGTTTTTTTGTTTTATACACCAGAAGTAATAACTTCACCAATATCCACATATACAGGCTCCCAATGCTTGGCTCCGTCAGCCATCATGTCGCTTGGCACCCGAACGTCCTCGCCAGGACTGTACAGGTACCACGCCTTGAGCGCGTTCATGCAAGCCTTCTTGCGCGCATGGTCCAAGCTGGCTGCGATGCCCTCGCCCAGCTTGTCGTTGCCGCTAAAGATACCCACCACAAACACCGGGGTCCGGGACTGACGACCCGTTTCGGACAGCAGCCGGGCGACCGGCTTCTCAAACTCCTCGCGCGCGCAGAGCCTCGCGAGCTCGCGCAGCGGCACCTTGAAGGTGAAGAGCTTCTCGAGGTCGAGGTGCCGGGACAGGATGTGTGCCTTAATGAAGGAACGCGCTGCTTCGCGGCCTGAGTGTGTGTAGATGGCGCCGACGACGGCCCGCACAAAGTCGCCATAGATGTTGTGAGACTTGGCAATCTTCTCATCTGGGTCGCCCAGCGCAAGCTCCCGTTCGAGCGACATGCGCAGTCCTGATTCCTCCTCCATCTGTCGCACCACGTCCTCGACGTCGGGGTTCTTGTTGTCCTTGAAGTCGCCGACTCCTGGCTCGTCGTATTGCACTTTGCGTGGGAGCATCTCGCCAAAATCGTCGTCCATGACGACTCTACTGGAAATACTGTGTCGATACTTGAATTTGTGCTGGTACTCGGACCGCACGAAACCCCACTTTGTATTGCCGGTGCGGTCGACGTCGAGCGAGAACTGCATCAGGCCCGGGTCGACCTCAGCGCCGGGAGCAGCGGCGCTCTCGACACCCCAGGACCGCGCGACGGAGAAGAGCGTCTTGTCGCCAGCGTAGGACTTCATGGCCGCGTGCATGATCTCCATAGGCAGACGCGGGTAGCGGCACATGAGCATCTCAGATGTGTAGTAGCTGATGAAGGTCTGGCCAAGGAAGGCGAGGTTGGAGTTGTTGAAGAGCGGGGCTGGGTCGGCCGAGGGGTCCACGAGAGTCCTGGCCAGCGTCTGCACGGGGATCTTGTCGGAAAGGGCCAGTCTTGCGTGGAGAGCGGCGAGCTTGGCGGAGCGGGCGGCCTTCTTAGGCGGTGGCGAGGGTATCTCGCCTGGGTCTTGGGTGGGATCTATTAGAGGCCATGATGAGGAGGAGGAGGAGGAGGTGCTGGTGGATGACGTGTCGAGGCCATTGATGGCAGCCTCGTCAAGAACCTGTCTGATCTGTGTCTCGACGGCGCTGGTGTCTGCTATCGTCGACTGGCAGCGTCGTGTCGAAGGGACGTCGTGGTGAGCGTCTTTGCTCCTAGCCGTCCAAGCCTGGCTTTGAGCCCGCAGACATGCCGTCGACGAAAGGGTCGGTCTCGAAGAAGAGGGTGTAGCGCCCGGCCGGGTCGAGAGCAGGGGCCCTGACCATTTTGACAACCTCAACCTCTTCATGGGGGATGGAAATATTCGAGCTGCAGGGGCTGCCGTTCCCCACAAGAGGCAATTGAGACACAGCAGCAGGACCGTTTATGGAGATTCGGACGGGCAAGCCCTTGTCGTCATGGGAGATCGTCTCGGGAAGGGCTGAGTATGGGCTTGGAGGGCGGCTCCGTGGTGTCGTCGTCGTCGTTGTTGTTGTTGGCGGGCGTGTGGACTCGTCCAATGCGTCGCGACAAAACTCGGCAGAAGGCTGTTGGAAAAAATCGCTGAGCTCGACAAGGCGCGCTAAGCAACCCACCTACCTTGCCCAGGCCCATCGGCTGCAGCCGCTCCTGCACCCTGGCCCTTTGGGGGGGCGGACTTGCCAATTGCTTTATCTGAAGCTTATCGTACCCGCCTAGGTCTGCTGACATAATGCGGGAGGCAAAAGTGCGCTGTCATGGATCATTTGCTGGGCTGGGCAGGCAGAGCCGGCCAGAGTCCCACATGCTTGCTTGACGCAGCCAATCCTCGCCGGGCAATTCGACGTCAACGCAAGCTTCCCATTTGGCGACGACGAGCACATCTCACCCCTTCATTCCACCAAGTCGCAAGCATAGTCCAACACATCAAAATGGTATGTTCATATCGAATTGACATTCTTTCAAGAACGCCTATACTAACCTCTTCGCAGGGTGGTGGTCCTAAAGTTCCGTTAGTAGCCCTTCCAATCTGTCGACTAGCCAACTCCACGATACCCGAGCCCGAGCCCTCTGAACGCCCTCTGACAATTACGACATAGGTACCCCAAGCACGTCTGGTCGCCGGCTGGTGGCTGGTACGCACAGCCGTCCAACTGGCAAAAAAACACCGCCATCTTTGGTGCCGTTATCCTGGGCATTACCGGCCTAGTGTGGAACCTCAGCGCCGAGCGCGAGTTCAGACACAAGATGCCCCAGCCAGGCCGCTTTTACCCAAGTCGAAAGTATGTTCCCTTGTGTATAGTATTTAGATACTTGTCTGTGGTTTGGAAACTGTGGACTAACCCGAGTACAGCTGGTCGAGGCAAATACGAGAACACGAAAAGGCTCAGCAGGAAGCATCAGGGGGTACCTCGGGATAGACATGGTCAGCAAGGAAGTTGAGCGCGCATTACATTGCAGAACAAAATCAAGAAATTTTATTACACGTCGATCCATAAGTTTCATCAGCACAACGATCGATGTGTATAATATCTGGTTGTGCCTCGTAAGAATTGGCTGCTGGAAATCAAGACATTCTGGAACAATGCAATTATCGTCTGGTCCATCTTTCCGGGCCCCTGGACTGGACGATTCTGACACGTTCTCCTATCCATCAAAGGCAAGCATCACTCTTGCAAGCAACAGTCCACACCGGCAACTTCGAAGACGATCACAGCCCGCTGTGTGATTCATCACTGCTGATAAGCATGCTGAATACTTGACAACGACAAGAGTTTCCGTGGTAGTCGACAGCTATTGGATAAACTGCTTGGGTGATAACTACTGGCGTTCTCACACAGCCTCACCGGAAGTGGTGCCTTCAATGTGGCCCGGAGTAGTCCCAAAGCCTGTCCAACACTGAAGCTATTGGATATGTTTCGAAGTTATTTGATATCTTGTACAGCTTCACTAGAGTAGATGTCCTTGTATACCGGAATCGACTCATGCTATGCCGCGGTATCAGTGCCGGGTGACTAAACGTGTTGAGACAATAATAATCATTTTCACAATTGTTTCTCATCAGGAATGACTGAAATTGGCTGATGTCTTCTTGGCAGGACCTCCTTAGGCTTATGTTATGATCACTGGCAATCCCAGTGCAAGTACTAGGTTCTGGGAAGTTAAAAAATCAGTGTCATTGATAACTCTCTTGATCGTTGTTTGTCCTAGTAGCCGTGGTGGAGATTCAGCAGGCTGTTGACAGGAGGGGACCTCAATGATTGGAGCGGTGATCTGATAACATTGCTGTCATTTAAACAAAAATATATATCAGAACGACGTTTTCAATATGTCCGTATTCACACGTTGGTAGGCTCACGTGTGAGAACAAGATCATGGGCAAGATCAGTCACTTGTACGCGGGCATAGAGATGAGGTCTCAAATTTTATTGACTCTATATAGAATGCTATAAGTTGATAAGCTTATCTCGGTCCTTTGGCGCAATGGTAGCGCGTCACTTTCCGGTTTTCTTCTGGTTAGTTGGTGAAGGTTCACGGTTCGAGTCCGTGGAGGATCGTATATATTTTGCTCTTTTTGGCATTGCCAATCCAATTCTTCTGCCTCTCATTTTCTCTTCTTTTCCTAGGACTTCAGACTGACTGACTGACTGACTGACTGACTGACTGACTGGGTCATCTGGCCAAGATGAACTGTCGAGTGTGGTTTCACTAGCCTGGCTTTTTGTGGCTAAACTCTGCCAAGACGGACTACCGCACAGCCTCCTTGTTCGAACAACCTCACTAAGACTAACATTTGAACACTGCAAAGTTATGTGCCCAACCTCTGCTTGATATCCTCTACCTAGATATCTTTACGGATCACCTTGCATAAATCATCCTCGCTGTACAAATTGGCCAATTGCAATATCACGACAGTCACCATAAACATGCCAGCCGCCTCACCATTATCAACTCGTCAGATATGGTTCCTCATTGTAATCTCGCTGCCTGCTGCATCAGCGATGCTCGCCCGGGTGTATATCATGCGCAATGTTGCGAGCAGTACATCTCATCGCATAGAGAGGAAGAGCGGTGAGAATCACAAGCTCAGATCTAGATGGAAAGCAACAAAGACTGCAGACTCGTCGTCATCCTCATCCTCAAGTTCTGTTGACATCCCACCGCCGCTGCCTCATTGCTTCCCGTCTAGCTTGCTCGCCCTCAACAACAGTCACGGGGATATGGAAGACGGTGACCATTCCTTTACAGACTACATAGTTTGGTATGAGCGGGTGGTCTCCAAGCCCGTGCTTTTATCCTCTCTCCAGGCCAAAAGTGGGAAGACAGATGGGCGTGATTGTCAAACCGGGGACAGGTCGAGCGAAGATCAACCAACGACAAGCAAAGGCAAAAGGATATCGCTGCTACTTACAGACTACGCCCGCGCGACAATGTCAGCATTCACACGAACACCTCAAGCTGCGCTGTTGCAAAAGTTGGTTCCTGAAGATGCGAAAAGGACGTTTGGGGAGGGGTATATTGCCGGACTGGACTTTGAGACGCTGAATCAGCGAGTGGATGGTTTGTATACGGTGCAGTATCGCGGTGATGTTGCTCAGAGTGCTGAGTCACTTGAGCTGATGAACGAGGACTATAGAACTGGGAAGAGTCGAAGGCAAAGGCAAAGGCAAAAGCAACATCGAGTGGAGTTGAAGCTGGATCCGCCAGAGGGCTACCTTGGACCTAAAGGGGGTGGTGTTATCGTGGTTGCTGTGGAGGTGGAACAGCAACATCAAGGAGGACCGGATCAGGACGCACAGGAGCAATTGATGGAGCGGAGTAATGTCTGCTTTGTCAACGAGACGTGGCTCTGGAGGAAAGAAAGCGAGAGGCCGATGATATTGGAAAGTGTGGTTGGGCGGTGGGTTCACTCTTTGATGGCTGGGTGGCTGATTACGAGCGGGATCACTGCTTTGCGAGGCAGTACTGGGAAGTGAGTGTAACCTGGTTACTGTACCAGAAATTATTCGAGGAAGGCCATTAGTGGGATATTGAGCATTATGATTCAAAAGTAGTGATGATCAACCGCATATTCTTCCTGTTGAAATGGCCCTAATCGCCTTGGATACAAGAGTTTCTAGCTGAAATCTGTTGCCATCATTGATGGCTGTATTACAATCAGAAGCCTATAATAGTACTTTCTTTGAGCGACCTTATTGCCTCCTAGCCACACACTCGTTGACAAACTCTTCAATTTCCCGATTGAACCTCTCAGGCTCCTCATAAAACATCCAGTGTCCGCCTTCAAACACTGACCACTTCGCCAGCCCCTTCTCATCTTGGCCAGCAGCATTCACATTCCCCTTTTCCACCCTCCTTACCGTCTCACGCATTCCCTCAAGCGGAAAACACCCCGTCCTGCGTCCCGCAAGCACCAGCGTCGGCACACGGATCGTCTCGATCGCCTCGCGGTGATCATACCGCGTATGGTCCGACAACAGCCGTGCGAGCCACGCACCGTCACACAACCGACTTATGCCTGTAAAGAAGGCCTCGTCCTGCGCTGTCTGCTCTGCAATGACCGCACTACGCTCCTTCTCCTCCTCATTGGGCGCAGTCCGGTACCCCAAACACTCGCTCACCAGCCCACGGTGCGCATCATCGGGCGTCTCCATCCACGCCCGCTGCGCAGCAAGCATGCTTGCCTCGTCGTAGCATCCTTTATGGCACTTTGTCTCGTCCCACTCGTCAAACAAAGAGCGGTCCTGCAGCGGCGCCTGGTCTGCGAACACAAACCCCGCAAAGTCGACGTTGGCTTCATTCCCGTATAGTTCAATATACGTCCATAACACCGCAGCACCAATAGAGCAACCCACCGGGATGATTCTCGGTTTGCTTCCACTAACGAGGCTTCGTAGATAAGCGATAATGGCGTGCAAGTCCGCAGCGAGGCGTGCAACGTGGTAGCCACCTTTGCTGTGTCCTGAGGCGCCGTGGCCGCGCATATCTGGCGCGACGACCCAATGGCGCTTGGCGAGAGATGCGAAATTGCGTGTGAAGTAGGCGGAGCTCCCGCTGAAGCCATGCATGAGCAGAATGCATGTTTGGCGCCGTGGGTCGGAGAAGGACCCGGGACCTGAGGAGGGTGTGTCTTGGGCCTCTACGGGGAGAGAGGTTTGGTAGGCGAGGCGCAGATTGTCGTTTGTGGTGAGGTGGGCATACTGCATGCCTGGCTCTGGAGCGAGGGCCATTTTTACCTTGTGGTGAAGATTGCGTCAGGGACTGGTCTATTGGTAGGAGAAAGGCGAACGCAATGGTTGGATGTGAGAAGTGGAATATAAGACGGACAGTTGAGATATTCGGATATCAGCTTGAAGATATACAGGTTGATAGACCACAGATCGATGACCACTACAATCAATAAATGATGGAAGTAGCCAATCGAGACACAATTCGAGCAGCAGATGAAGGAGACAATACGGGGTGAGCTGTTAGAATAGAAATTCTTTGTTTCAAAGCAGCCAGCAAGTGTAACATCTTCCAGGAGCTATCTCCACCATGACTATGAACGAGGGTTGGGGTTCTGTCGGTTCACCACAACACCGAGCTGCCAACGACGTTATATCACGCTGTACAGCCCGTTTCTTTCAGATGAAATGTGACTACTCCGAAAGATCAGAGATCGTCCAAAGCTCGTCTTGAAAAGGTCATTGGATGTGGGAGAGGTTTGTCAGTGCACACAGCGCTGAAGTGCCTGCAAAGACAATACTTAGCAAGTATAGCATAATTCGAGCCCAAGAAACCTTCACTAAGTTGCGACGATTAGGCTTGTCCTCACTACCGAGATGGCGTTCTGTCGCGTTGTTTCGCGTTTGAGACGTCTGTAAATGGCTTTATGGCCCTGAGAACAACGGAATTATCATCAAGTAACCAAAGGATTGATCTAAGATCAAAGTGAATTGTCTGTCTGTATTGTAAGAGGAAAAAGCCTTTCTCAAAGAGTACGTTTGAGAGAAAGGCTATAAAAACCCCTTTGTCCGGCTTACATAAAGGCTTAAGGGTTAGGGTCAAAGGCCATTGTCACACGTTCTCATCGGCTCTACTAAAGACTAATCTCTTCTACGGCTTATCATATCTGATGGGCCCTTTGTGTTTAATCACAAGCCTTCAATCCATCACGCTGGCCCAGCACTAGATCTATTAAAACCACCAAGCATAAGAGATTGTCTCGAAATTCAATCAAGTTCGTAACTTGCTCCACACCACTCAAGTCTTCAACTCATTCGGCGGCGTCGCATCTTTGTCCTCGTGTCCTCGTAATAAAACTTGTCGTTCCTGGCTCTTCAAATGTAGTTGAAAGTGTGCAGCTCCAGCAGACGTGCGAGACCATCGCCTCTAACGGGGGCGCCAGGGACCTTGGGGGAGGATCGAGCCTCTTCAGACTCCTCGCTAGGTGTTCTGATCTTTCGTTTCTTGTTCTTGGACTGGCTTGCATTTTCGCGATGGCTGACGGCGGCCTCAATCAGAGCCTGTTGGCTACGCAGCTCAGAGTGGAGTTCCTGGACCCGCGATTCAGCATCATTGACTACCTCAGTGATGGACTGAATGGCGGCGGGTTCGCGAGTGCCCTCGAGCTCAACACGGAGATCAGCGACAGACTCGGACAATCTTTCTAAAGCCATTGAGATGGGTTTCCTCTGCCACCAATAGTCGCCGCGCGGGTCGGCTACATTGGCGGCCTGGGTGTGACGAGGGGGCTGACTGCGCACTTCGTCCAGCTCGTTTGTGTACTGCTGCAGCCTACTCTTCAGCCAAGTCACATTGGACTGAGCTTCTGCAAACTGAATAATCTCCAACTGGGTGGCTTGGAAATCTTTTGTTAGACACAGCTTCCAATTTTCGCAGCAAAGCGGGACCTTCGTGAGATCCTGCCAGTGACTTTTCCCCTCCGAAGATCTGACATTCGTCACATTGAGCCACGGGCGGCATTTTGGACTGATCTTGTGATGCTTCAGGGAAGTTTGTGTGATCAGGTACCGCTCGTTGGAGGGCTTCTCCTGAAATTCAATGCTCTGGATTTCGTTTGGGTCTGTGGAGCGAAAACTGACCACGAAGTCGACTCTGGTAACATCGCAGCGGCTTATCGGCCGGGAAGGGTAGTCGATTGTTGACGCGCGAAATGGATCGACTCCCTTCCCATTGACATACTTTTCAAACTCCGAGGAGAGTAGCGCGACATCAATGCCATACAAGGCCGAGATCCGGTCAAATAGAATGAGATTGTCCTTGTTGAGACAAAATGTGCCAGTGACGTGGGCCGAAGAAGAAGAAGAAGCCATTTTGAGTCTAAAAGCATGATTAGTATCGTCCCGTATCTATTCGCAACGTTCGCTGACATACCTCTTGTCGCGAGAGATTGCACGCTGTCTTATTCATGCAAAGAAAGCCCTCCAAAATAACAACTTTGATTAGCGATTGAACGGTGGAATTTTCAGAAGTCAGGGAAAAGTAAATGCCGTATTGTTACATGTTCTGCAAACGACTACACAATGAAGCTTTTGGGTCCGAGACGCCATCA